GCTGCAGACCAGGGCTTCATAGCATTCCGTGGCAGAGCCTGGACTTGAGCCCGCGCCGGTCTGGCTTCGGAGCTTGTGCGCCACGGCCAGAGATGCAGGGATGGACGGAGGGGGAAACTCCCTGGGAGAAGACCCCGCTCAGGACAAATTCTGCGGTGAAGTCTGCCCCTTCCGCGTTCCCCGGCATGTCGTCCCAAAGGAAGTCTGGCTGGGCAGGGCGGGAGTCAGGGGTCTCCCACAGACAGCCCGCCGGGCTTCTGAAACCAAGGCGGCTGCGTTCTGCCTCGGCGGCCCCGCTGCTAAGTACCGCGGGGTGGGCTGTGCCGAGCATTCGGGCTGGAAAACAAGCAAGCACAAAAGAACACATAGGAAGGCCTCTAAAATGCTAATGCGGCGCCCGCGCGGCTGGCGACTGCGCAGCCCGGGGCCGCGGTCACGGCGCTGTGCCTCGTTATTGCTGCCGGGCCGGCGGTCGGGAGCAGCGGGGCGCGGGGCCGCACGCGGCGCGGCTGATGGCGGCGCTGATGGCGCGGCGGCGCGGCGCGCAGGCTCAGCGGGCGCCCGGGCTTGGGGGGCTGCGCGCTCCGGGGCCCCGCGTCCCCGTGGCCGGAGCGGGAGGGTCGGGGGTCGGTGCCGAGAGCCGGGAGTGGGCGCCGTGTCCCCACCGGCCGGGCCACGGCGGAGGCCTGCACCCGATTCCCAACTCCTATTAATTGTCTCATTAAAAAGTACTTCTTTTAAAAATCAAAGAAGTGATCAACTAGCCGTGAGAAGCTCAAACAATGCAGCAATGCATAAAGTAAGAAGCGAAAAGGCCTCCGAGTCTTCCTTTCCAAACCTCTCCAGAGAGAACCACCGTTTACAGATAGGCATGTAGCCTTCCAGATTTTTAATATCATAGCCGTTTGATTTAAAGAAAAAAAAATCAGTCAAATCATAAAACAGTTCTTTTCCCACCCTTAAATGCAATCCTGTTATATACTCTCATCTTTCTTGCTTTTTTCCATGTAAAAATGTGCCTGGAGATCTTGCCACGGTATCGGGTCTAATCCTGTCTAATTCTTTCCAAAAGCCATATAATATTCTAGAGTACCAGGGTACAATAATTAATTTAACCTTTCTCCTGCTACTACTAATTAAATGCTTGCTATACCAGGCCTTTAACTAAGCACCTTATCTGTACCGTGTCATTTAATCACCATAACAGAGGCAAATGTAAGAAATCCTTTTTTCAGGAATGTAGAAAGAGGCACAGGGAGGTGAAGAAACTTGCCTGAGGTCACACAGCTAGTAAGTGGCAAAGGCAGGATGCAAACCCAGGTAGACTTGACCGGGGAAGTCTTGCTCGTCTCTGAAAAGTCAGTGCCCAGCCAAATGTATCAGTCAGGTCACTGAATATTAGGTGGGGGCTCTTTCCCTACTCTGTTAGCTCCTTAGCCCATATACGAGCTCTACATACATCTGTGTTTTTATGGGATTTTCCTGATTTCATCCTGATGTTTCTAACACAATGATTTTTACCTAGGGATTAAAAAATTGCAATTGTATTATAGTTACTTGGTAAAAAACAACTACTAGAGGGTATGAAATGAAAAGTGATTTTTTTCCACTCCTGATTTCCAGTTTCCTCTTCAGAGGAAACCCCTGTTAGCAGTTTCTTATGTATCTTCTGCACATTTTCAATGCATATGCTTTTCCATATAAATGGTAGCATACTAGACAGGCTTCCGGAAATTTTCTGAATACACGTGTATCTACATGTTTCACATATAGACTTAAGATTTACTTGGCTTGTTCCAAGAAATATCCTGTTGGTATTTTAATTGGGATTATGTTATATTTATAGCATAATTTAGGGAGAATTGATATCTTTAGTGAGTCTTTTTAATCAACATCACAATCTGACTTTCATTTACTCTGGGACAGAGACAGTAAATGCTCACCAAGTATTTAATTTGTTCCCCTGAATTTCGCTGCTTCTTGCAGATGACAGGGGGCTACATAACTCGTTCTGGTCAGTGAAATATGAGCAAAAGTGACATGTGACACTTTGGGGCTGAGGCAATGACAAACCCAAGCGTGACTCGCAATTTTGTCTTCCCTTGCTTTGGTGATCATGGAAGCATGAGGCATTACAGGATCAAAGCAAACCCATTGCTGAGCCACACATGGAGGACAGCTGTTGTGAACATTTTTGGAGATACATACAACCGACTTCAGGTGAGAAAAATAAGCTGGTATTGTGTGAAGTCACCGAGATGTTGGTGCTGGCTTTGTCTGCAATGTCATTTAGGCTATACTGCCTGATATGCCCTCAGTAGGGTTTTAAAGTTTTACTCTTATAGATTTTGCACATTTCTTGTTAGGCTTGTTTCTTTTTTGTTGCTATTATAAATAGGATTTTCTTTTCTTCCTGTACACTTTCTAATGGCTTGTGATTTCTATATAGGAAAGCTATCTATTTTTATAAGCATATTACATCTGTAATCAGCCATCTTACTGAAACTCTTAGATTTTCTAATAGATTTTTCAGTTGGTTATCTTGGGTTTACCTTTCCTTTTTTTTCTTATCTATTTGCTAGTATGGATACCTGGATCATTTCCAGTTTGGGGCTAATATGAATAAAGGTATTATGAACGTTTGCGTACAAGTCTTTTGGAGGACATTAGCTTTCATTTCTCATGGTAAAATACATAGGAATAGAATTGCTGGGTTGCAGGGTCGGTGTACAGTAAGTCCTCACTTAATGTTGTCAATACGTTCTTGGATTTTAAGGGAAACCATGTATCACAAAACCAATTTTACCATAGGCTAATTGATATAAACAAGAGTTAAAAGTTCCTACGGCATCTCATCCATGTTATAATGAAACAATGATGAACGAAAAGATATTATTTGAGGACCTGCCCTATACTTAATTTGATAAGGAAGTATCAAACCTTTTCTCAAAGTGTTTGGCATGTCCGTCAACAATGTATGAGAGTTCTGGTTGTGCATCCTTGCCAACACCCAGTGTTGTCTGGATTTTGTTTTGATACTTAAGATGTATAGATCATGTTAATGCATATCCATCTATTCTTATTTTATTAAGAATTTTTCTTTCTGACTTTAGAATCTGGAGTGAATCTTGAAATTTGTGAATTCTTTCCAGCATCTATAAGATGATCATATAGTCCCTATTCTTTGATTTGTTGAATTAAGAAAGTTTCTAAAATTGAACTGACCTTGCATTCCTGGGATGAACTCAAATTTAGTCATGTAGGTTAGTCCTTTAATATGTGGCAGGTTCTGTTTGCTAATAATCTATTTAGATCATTATTCACTATTCATAAATAAGACATTTCATTTGGGGTTCTTTTTTTTTTTGTAAGATTTTAATGTTATACTGGCTTTGAAAATGGATTTACAAGCTTTTTAGTGTCCTCTGCTCTGACCCAGTGATTTTGGACTTGTGGTTTCTATATGATGTTTTTTCAGCGTTGGTTGGTTGATTTTGACCTCATGAAAGTTGTGGGCAGACCAATGCTGCCTGTTGTTGTGTGAGCACCATGCCTATAGTCACAATATACTGAGGCAGTGTAGCTAGTGGTTAAGAGCATAGGCCCTGAAAACTGGTGGGGTCAAATTCCAGCTCTGCCACTTGCTATCCACAGGGGGCAGCTGAGGCTCAGAGGGGCAACTGGTTGGGTCAGAGCATAGAGATAAGAAAGTTTTGGGATCCTCATGTATAAAACAGGGACAATAATAGCATCTGCCTCTTAAGTAGTTAGGAGATGCAGTGACAGGTAAAGATACTAGAATAGAGCCTGGTATGCCGTAAGCGTGTGGGAGACATTACAGCAAAGCTGGTTCCAACCTCTCAGATGAATTGAATCAAGCTGTTGCAGTTCTCTGCTAATCCACAAACATTTGTGTCCTTTCCCTGGTGGCAGTGGTTTCTTTTTTGTTTTTTTTTTCAGTTATTTGTTATTTGTTTTTAGTTTTTGACACAGTGTAAGGATGTGAGAAAAGCCAACTCAAGCTTCCTTGGAAGTTCAACTGGGTTGGTGGTAGGAACCATCTCCCAGATGGGTCCAGCCTGACCCACTCAGATCCCTGGAAATTGGGTACCAAGAGTGATGTCTTCTTCATCACCCATTCCCTTCATCTGCTCCTATTTTCCTTAAAGAAGTGAAAATGACGAATGCTTTGATCAGGCTAGGTTCCTGGCTATTGCTGCATTTTCTGTCCTCCCTCCTTCTCTCCCTCCCCCCCATTTTGAATGATTCTTTCTAATTTTAATTTTTCTAGAAGCTAGATCTAAGGCTTCCTTCTTAATATCCTGCCTCTGAGGGTGGAAGGCTACCTGGCTTTCCCCAGTGGAATAGCAAGAAACTAGGGGTGCTGATGGCTGTCAGGGGCTGCTTCAGAAGGGAGAGAGCCCCTTTCTATCCAGGTGTTTGAGCAAAAACAGGATGGCCACTAAATATGGAGGCTGCAGTAGGGATTCAGGCATTGGATGACGGGGGTGGGCACTGGGAGTGGGGTGGGGTAGATTGGACGATGAATAACTATTGGGAAGAGCTTTAAAGGTGAACAGTCCTGAGTACAAGTTCGTACCTCTGCAACTCCCTAATAGTGTGATTTCTGGCAAATAACTGCTTTTCAGAGCCTCAGTTTCCCCATCTATGAAATGGACACAATAATACCTACCTAACAGGAGGAGGTTGTGAAGGACCAAAGAAATACTGGGGATCAAATGCTGTTTCTTTTCACCCAGAGATTCTGTGAAGCAGGGAGGACTCTTCCTAATGTTCAGTAAGATGAGCATTGTTGTTTTTGGCATCTGCCCCTCTTTGCCGCTCACCCCCAACTTTCTACAAAGCACAGCGTGTGCTTGGCTTTAGAGGTTTCACATTAGAGGGTTTAGATTGTGTGGAGGCTGTGGCTACAGGACCAGGTACAGATGCCACTATGAGTGGGTACTGCGTGTATTTGGGTGGTTTCTGTTATATTTGGCCTCACTGGCTACTTTCTCCAAAGTTTGTGAATTAGATATGTGGGCATCATTGGGATGTCCAGTTTGGTAAAATGACCTTCCTTGGACTAGAAATGCAGTTGCCTGTTGACTTCCTGTGGGTCTGAGGAGAGTCAGGTTTCAATGTTCATTCCATTGTATCGGAAAACACACACACACACACACACACACACACACACACACAAAGGATGCAGTTGAATACCAATGCAAGCCATTACATTTTTGAGTTTTCAGCTAACAATTTATGATGTAGAAATTTCCAAGAGAGGAAAGATTTGGAGCTTCACATACAAGCCTGCCTGTCTTGAGGTTTGATGGTTAAACATTACATTCTAGAACTACAAGATGTAATAATAAAAAATTTTGGGAAAATTTCCCTATAATGGCAGATGGAGATTAAAATGCATTTGGGGACATTTCCAACATACATGAACATAGTGGATGAATGCAAGTCCTAAATGAGCTAACCTGTGGGAGCCAAGTTCTGCCCTCACACCTCCAATTGAGGGGGGTGTTCAAAAGACCGAAGGGTCTTTAGCTAATTAGATTGTAAGGGGTGGGGTAAGAGTTAAACAGCTGCAGCAGCAGGTTGGTGAGATAAAGTGATTCTGGAACAAAAGTAGTTTTGGTTTGGAGTTTCAGATTATAAAAGATGCCAGCACCAGCAAAGATCTAAGCAGTGCGAGTATGGACATAAAATGACGCTCATTCTGCAGTGGGGGTAAACCGAGGCTCAGAAATACAAAGATTTCTAGAGGCTACCCAAGGAGTCAGGTGTATTTGAGATAATAACACTCCCGGCCTTCCACACAGATCCTCTCCATCTGGATCTAAACACCCTGCTGTTTAGGCTGGGCTGGCATGAACACCACCAGGATTACAGATTCTCCTTCTGTAGGTGCTAATTAGCGATGCGGAGGACAGAAACCAAATCCCAGCCAAGGCTGTGTCCTATGAGCTCCGTGTAAGGAAGATCTGGCTGCATCTCCCAACCCCTGCAGTTGGTCCTCCCCAGAGGCTGAGAGTGTGATGACTCTCAGTGCTTCATCCCCCCATTTGCAGAAACAATTCAAAGTCATCGGCACTTGGTAGAGGAAGTGTCTCTGGGGTGGTGGAATGCCCACTGCTGCTTAGCTGTGGGATCCTCACTAAGCTGGGACTGAGGGACTGGGTGGTGGCATGCTTTGTACCGTCTGATGTGGCCCCTCTCTCTCTCCTCTTCTCATTCTCCATACTACCCAAATCTTCATAAATTCTGCTGGAACTCACTAAATGCTCAGTGTAAATGGATTTCTGGTGGACACTGGTCAAGGGGCTGAGCTTTGCACCTGGCGTGATAGAGGGTGGAACAGAGACATCACAGGGGAGCTGAATCTAGACCAAAGGTGTGTGAGTCTGGGGACTCAACCCACATCAGAGGAGGGTTTAAAAAGTCCTTTTGTAGGTCTCCCAGGCTGAGGTGACATCTGGGTTTCATGATCAATACCCTGTATGTGTAGTGGAGGAATGCGAACCTTGAGAGGTTGTTAGATGGCTGGCCACGGGCTCGGCTCTTTCCCCATCTGGGGCTTTAGATCCTGACAGCAACACTCAGCCTGGCTCTCCTGAAATCCCTCATGCCTAGAGAGAGAATTGTTGGGGGCCAAGTGGCAACCCACTGAGTGATGAGCTCTGAAAGCAGGGAACAGGCCGTCCAGACAGCAGGACTTTGCTATATGGGTCAAGGCCACTCAATTCACGATCTATGAAGATTTTGGAGGCTGCTTTCTGGAAGCCTGAAACACCCAAGGACCTCTGTGTTCCTGGCTGGCCTACGTCCAGCCCCCTCCCTGCAGCAGCCCCTGGCTCCTCTCCATCACTTGAATGTACCCTGGGCTCGGCTGGCTCAGAGGTCAGTTTCCCATCCCAGCATCCTCACCTGCTTTCCATGCGTATGTTTCCGTGCTAACAACAAAAGCACTAGAGGAAAGGGGACTCTTTTCTCTAGAGCATTTATTATTAGGGGCCCATGGTTACCCGGAGAAAAAAACACCGACTTCCAAATTCTGCTCTGGAAACCAAACCTAATTTAGGGAAGTACAATGTGCTGAAGAAAGATTGCCTCTTAATTTTAGATTCATGTGGAATGCAGGCAGGACGGCAGAATCCCTTAACATAACACAGGCTTTTTTGGTGGTGTAACAGAATAATAAATCCTTGAGG